GAAAGGTCAGTGAGAGGGCAGCAGCATGATGACATCTGAATGAGTAAATCCTAAACTTTCATACTTCATTTTACACAGTGCACATAAACTATTTTATGTATAAATAAGTTAACTAAACTTGAACTGAACTAAAACACAGATGAAAAACAGCAATATATAAAAAATAAAACCTGATGAAATCCAGATCATCTTGCTTCTGTGAGGGCTGAAGGTTAAAAGATTGTGGAGCTGGCGAACAGCAGACTCGTGGATTTAGATTTGGTTCCCAATTTTGTGTCTGCTTATGGTTTTGTGTGTGTGTGTCTCGTGGGTTCTGGTTGCGATTCCTAATCTGAGGTCAGAGTTCGCTGCAATCTGGCACTACATTTTCTATTTACATTTCACTAAGCTGTAATCCAGAGGGAAACCGCTTCCTCTTTTTCCATCAGCAACACCAAAGATGACCAACAGAGTGAAAAAGCCTAAATTAATACACTTACAGATGATTAAAAAATATACCAAAAAAATAAGTTTTTTAATAAAGGATAAAAAAACAAAAACAATGACAGCAATACTAATAAATCCACTGGTATCTCAAATTCTTGTTCTATTTCTGCTCTCCATACATACTGTATGTATATCACTACAGCCTAATAGATTCATTAAATTAAAATACACTTTCTTTCAGCTCATGCACTTAGAAGACTGGTTGCTTTCATGAGCTAAAGCTTGTTCATATGTTTACATTTTGGGTACAAAATACTAAGCTGTATGTCTCAGCATACCCTGGGGAGGTAGACAGCACCATCGTGTGGTTATTAGCTGGTGTTGCAGCTCGATCTTCACTTCCCACACATCTAGAATATTTTCATTTGATGAGGTGGCGCACTTATTAAAACATGGAGTCTATGTTTTAAATATTGCACTCAGCGTAAACATCATAGAGCTTCAGTGAAAAAGTTGCAATTGGCTGATACGAGTTTAGTGTTAATCTAGTAACAATTAATACCAAACAATGTTTTCTGGACTTACATTTATGTTATATTGATTGTAATAGGGGCTTTAAAGGGAACTGAATAAGTTATCATCTTCAAAAAATGCTATTATCTTCCAAAAACATTTATTCCAACATCTCATGGAACCATTTCTGTTGTGATACCATTGTGAGTAAACACTGGCTTAGACTGACATTAATTACACTGATTACTGGCCAAAAATACATTTGAATGTAGCTTCAATCTAATTATGAATAACTAATTGACAGTACAAAATGCTCATGAATGGAAAATCAATGCATGGCTTGTAGTAAAGCAGGTTGCATATTTGACTGTAACTAATGTAATCATGGAGGCAAAGTAAACCAAGCTGGTGCTCATGAACAGTATTCAGCACCACAGCAGGCTGGACAGCTCCACCTCAGGCTGAACAGATAGCTTCCAGTTTGTATTGTATGTTTATACATGTTCAGTGCAGCTGGATTAAAGGGGGTTGGATTGTGCAAAGATAGATTCAGTGTCTAAATATCATAATAGTTTTTAGGATAATCGGATGAGTTTGTAGATAAAATCGGCTCATTCTAAGGTAATGAAAACACAATAATTCTTATTTTCAGGTGATTATACACTGAAATTATACACATAAAAAACATACCTATGCATACCTACACAAGGCCACAGCTACCACTGAGGAGTAAGCTCATGTCCTCAGTTTTGTTTCTGGCAACATCAGGATTTTAACATCCTGAAGTGAAGTTTACAATCCACAATTAGAGACAAATTACACATCATTACACCATTTAAAAACCTGATTTAACTGATTTTTCTGGCCACTTGAGGGCAGCAAAACAAGCTATGAACACAAATTTTTGTTTTCATAAAAATGTTGAGTTTCTTGAGTAGTAGCATTTAGGCCATAATGTAAGAAGATAAAACTGACAGAAATGTTCTTCTTTGTATATCTGGAGTCTGGGGCAATTTGTACTCATGACCGTGGTGTCTCTAAAATCCTGGTAAACTGTTTCACGAGTACTTGGCAGCAACTGTAACTCTGCAGACTAAAACACAGACAATCTAAACAAGAAGCAGCTGCACCGCAGCCAGACTCTGATCCAATCAAAACCAGAGGGTAGAGCAAATGGACAAACACAGACCTGCCAGATGATGGAATTTAGTAGTGACACCTGCTGAGGGGCGCCCCATGCTGCTGTCAGTCTAGAAACATTGACCTGCTGTGACAATGAGACTGATTATATAGCACAACCCGTTACACACACACACACACACACACACACACACACACACTTGAAACTCTGCTTGTGTGAAGTGTGAAGCCATTGACAAAGTTTTACACTGTTTAAGACTAAAAGAGGTTTAGTGAGAATTAGCTAAGAGTGATTGGGTTATGTAAGCTCAAAGGTCCAATGAAGAGGAGACAAAAACACACACACACACCAAAGGGAACTCAGTTTGTGTAACTAGATTCCAGACCGGTCAGAAACCTTTAGTGGTAAAAAAAATTCTGTGTGTTTCAAACAATATTTCAGCATAGAATAGTACATTTCCTTTATTCACTGTGTCATTATAATTGTAATTAATCTCACTTCATCTCTCCCATTTTTACACATTACGGTACACTGAGTGGATAATCCCTTGATACGTCTCCTTGCTTTTACCAGGCAGGCAGGGTTTTTGTTTGCTGGACGAGAAGCTAAGAATTAATCCTCATTACACAATGGAGCAAAAGCTGTTTGGTGAGTTTAATTGCTGCTTACTGTACGTGTGAGCTTTTGTCATATGAGGGCCCGCACATGGTTTTAAATACACTGCTTTCATGTAACACTCAATGTGTTCAAGGTGTTTTGTAACTTCTGACTGAGTTTAACCAGAATATGAACTGAAGATTTACAGTGTAGTGTTGTATCAACCACTTCCAACCTTTGCCAATACTGAGTCAAAAAGCTAAACTGTTAGCTACATACATTAAAATACATACATTACATATTAAAATGTGAGATGATGATATTGTTTCTGTTCATTGTGCATGTTATCAGTTGGTGCTTAAAGAGCAACTTAACAGCAGCTGAAAACCTTGTTTGTGCTGCTGACCTGCAGTGGTTTAAGTCAACTTGCTGCAGTGATGTAGAGGTGTACACCAGGGCATGTCAGTACATTATGACATCACTGTTGGGTGTGGTTACAGGTGCAACACAGCACAACAGTTAATTTCTGCCAAATCTGGCTAACTTTACACAGCAAAACTTTGACAAAGTTCTAAACATCTAAAACTGCCCCCACAGAGGGTAGAAGGGGTTGATAACAAAACTAAAAATGAGAAAAATATTTTGGTTAACTGAAATAAAAATAAAAACTCGACTATTGTGTACACTTACAAAACTAACTAAAATAAAAATTATACAGGAAATGTCTTTAATTTTAGTCTTTCTCATTTGTCAACACAGCAAGCATGACGAGACATTGGTGCATGTTTATTGAGATTGGGATGTCTGCATGAGTTGTGTTTGTATTGTGATACAATTCTAAACTTCTATCTTGCCCCTGACAAATACCACCAAATATCCTAGTAAAACTAACACTGAAACTAATAAAAACTAAATTAAAACTAAACATTTGCAACAAAACAAAAAAACTAAACTGAATTGAAAACAAAATAAAAATAAAAACTAATAAAAATTACAAAACCCCCACATGAAGAGAGGCAAACTGTGGCTACGTGGTGTTGAAATGAAGTCTAATAAACCTTCAACTGTAGATCAAAAACAAAAGGTTTCTCACAAACAGACAGAGGTGGCAGTTCTGAATTCATACAACAGTAATTTAATTCAACCATAAATGAAGCAGGTCACTGTTGTGTGACCTAATGTGTGTTAGATTTTTCATCTTGTAGTAAAACACTGAATGTCTTGAATGTGTGACTCATTTTTTGCTAAATGAATATTACATACATACACTGCTATAACACTAATGGGAGAAGGTACATCAATCGTCAGTTCTAAATCAAATGTATTCTTAGATGAATTAAAATAAATAAACAAATTATGCTGAAAACAAACAGGCCTGGATATCCACCGTGCCTGCCTTGCTGACCCCTGCTCTTGAGGGTTGACCTTGACAACTAAAACAAAACAAAAAAACATTTTTGGCACAAGTATTGAATTATCTTTGTTTCCCTTTGAACAGTTAGAATAATGATAGGGAAACTGCGACATTTATTGTAGAAGAAGCTTGTAGGGATGTTGTCCTCCACCATGCTCCTGTCTGGAAAATACAGCTGCTCGCACTGACTCAGTAAATCCTCTAGAGGGCAGTGTGAGACTGCAGCCTCAAGTCAGTGGTTCCCTTCCTGGCCTATTACTTTCACTGTTTACGCTTGGTGATGTGTTAAGGATTCTCGTTTAGAATTAGATGATTTAAAGGTGTATATAATGAAAATATCAGTTATTAATTCAAACTAATTATTATTAACACATACCCACTGAAAAACTTAATTGCATGTTGTATGATCAACATGGTGATTTGTATCTTCTGTTGTATCCTGTAACCCTTCCTCTTCATCTATTTAAGTTTTGTATAATATTCTATGTCATATAGTATTATTTAGTTTTGTTTTATTTTATCTCCTGAAGAATTCAATTTTACATTTTATCTAGCATCCTTACTGTTCTAATAATATTTGATTATATCCCACAGTATTCCCCACTTAGCTCGGTCATATTCCCATGTGAAGACAGTTTAGCAGCAAAAACCTCTACATGCACACTCACTTTACTCATCAGTGATTGGTCGAAACTCAGCCAGAGAGGGTGGGGCAAAGCCGTGTTTAATTAGCATACCTATCAAGGGCCATAAAGGGGCCTGCAGCCTCACCTGAAACCTCACAGCAGCAGCAGCATCAAACCCACAGAGGAGGCGGGGGACCTCGGGTGTAGTGCATGGCACGAGAGTCAAACACCGTGGAAGTAAAACTCCGATTTGAAAAAAGCAAGTTCAGGCAAGTTCACTCACCTCACGGAGACTCACACAGGTCCGGTCACCGTCCACGGTCTGTGCGTAAAAGCGCACAGCCAACAGAGAACTTTACGCGCTCCCAGGACGCTGTTTCTTTCCTCCTCCTCCTCCTCTAGCCCTCCACGGTCCGCTGGTGGTTCGAGACCTTCCTGTCACGGCCGGTTTGTGACTTTCACACCCGGTTCTGCTGAGTTGTGACCGGTCCGACCCTGAGCCCCGGGTAACCCATGAGGCTAGAGGCCGCAGCCAGGATGGATCTGTTCAGGAAGCTGTGGAAGGCGAGGAAGCTGATCGTTGTGGTGTTCATCCCGCTGTCCCTGCTTCCCTTACCGCTCATCCACCCCACCAGCGTGAGTACAAGCAAAAAAAAAATATTATATATTATATAATTCTTATAAGCATAGAAACAGAAAGAGACCTTCTGCCAGAAAGTCAGGATTTTCTAAATAAGAGTGCCATTTTATGGGGGAATTTAGGGGCGATCACGAATAATATATGACAAAGTAAACCTGTTGAAGTACTTGTTACTGTAAGGGAAATATATGGCTATTATACTGGAAATTAATAACATTAATTAATTAATTACATAGTGACAAGTCCAGTTAATAATTGAGTACCATAGATACACTTTTTTCAAAACATAGGAGATACAATTGTAATTTGTGTTATTTTTTGGTTCAAGGAAGGCTTTCAAACCATACACAGACTATAGGTTCCTGCAGTGATCTGGCAGAGGGACCACAAAAACTACAGCATTCATTAAAGTACCATACATGATGCTTATAATAATGTTTTTTATTCTAAATTAGTTATTTAGTTAGTCATTATTAAATATACCAACAAACCATATAAATACCTCGAAAACATGAGATAAACACAACATCCAGTTGATCTGTTGATGTTCCTCCTGGTTGCTGCAAACAGCTGTAGTGTCCTGATGGGATTTTGGTATGTGTGTGTGTGTGTGTGTGTGTGTGTGTGTGTGTGGGAGAGAGAGAGACAGACAGAGAGAGAGAGAGACAGAAAGAATCAATCAAAAGGCACACTGTCTCCTGTTTTGATGAACGCTTGTCCCCGAGCTGTGCTGATCATCAGCTGAGCTGTGTGTGGAGAGGAGACGTCGCGACATGTTGATGAGATGGAGATCAGTGAGAGAGAGAGAGGGAGAGTGGGGGTGGAAGGAGAGAAGAGTGAACCACTTGATATCATTTAGGCTCATTTTCAGTTGAATTGTTTGCTGCGAGAGCCATTGGAAAAGGAGGAGAAATCTGTCTTATTCTGCCTAGCTCATGTTTGTTTTGTGGGGAATTTCTGAGACTGTGAAACTGCATTTGAAACAATAGGATTATCCCAATCTGCATAAATCCAATCTTTACAAGAATTCACCTGTTATAAAATGTGTTTCCAAGACACAGATGTAGCTTCCTTGAAGACTAAATTACATATAAAGATAAAGATTTTGTTGAGGGGTGATCATTTGTAGAAATGTCAGATGAAAATTGAGCATGGCAAAAACATGTTGTTGTGTCAAACTTTCAGATTCAGAGGGTTGTATGTAGGATTTTGGATTCAAGACAGGATCCCGTTTAGTGAGGCTCAGACCTGTGCGTGTCATATCCTGAGAAATGCCCGACTGGGATTACAGGCGGTTTTCTGGCTCCGATGGTAACGGGCCAGTTTTCCCAACAGTTGCTGAATAAGGTAGTTGCCAAACAACCACCGTCTCAAACAGAAGTGGTACGAGTGGTGACAGGTGTGTGCTTATGTGTTAGAAATGAGCTCTTCTGTGTCCATGTTATTTGTGTTTCTTGTAACATCATTGATATTCAAAGGAACTCTTGTTGTGCTCGCAAGTTGTCCATCAGCCAATCACGTTGTCGCCCAGGAGCCTTGCTGTTATGTCAGGACCGGTGGACTTTTGGCACGGGAAGGTGGCGCAGGATGAGGCCAAGAAAGAACAAAAGAACAAAAACTCCACTACAAAGAAAAAGAAAGAAACAATCCAAGCAATTAAGTTATATAATCAGCCCACCACCACGTTGGACTTTGGCCCCCCACGTGGCTTCCTTACGACATCAGGGACCCCAAACTGTGTCAAGAATGTGGCAGGGGTTTGGAGGAAGAGTGGGTGTGTGTTTGGAGTGGTACTGTGTGCAGCTGCAGCAGGACAGAACATCTGCTGGATGCAGTCAGGCCAGGTCAGAGAGGGAGGGAGGGCGACTAGACAGAAATTCAAAGACAATGGCAGATGCACAGTTTTCATCACAAACACTGGCCCTAGATTGGGCGTTTTTCTGACATTTCGGGGCCACCGTAGTTTCTTCTTTGTGCTTGGAAGCTGAGGGTGAAGCAAGGGAGTTGCTATCTGCAACTACACTGCTAAAGGCCACTAAATCCTACACACTGGACCTTTTAATAGCTGTAGATATGTCAGCAGCTGTAGAACAGAGGTGAGCCCAACTGGGCATCTACATGGATATGACTAAATGTTCCCTTGGATGCTACATTCATATAACCAAATAATTTCAAAACTAATGACATTTTCATTATCACATCTCTTTAGTGCTAATTAGCAAATGCTAAATTGTGTGTACGTCGATCTGAAAATCAGTTAACAAAAATGTCCCCAATTTGGAAAAAGCTGATTTGGGGTCAGTAGTTAAGGTTAGGGTATACAAACATGTTCATGTGTGTGCATGTTATCTGTCACATTAAAAGCTATTTAGCCCTCTGCTGGTTGGTGAATACAGTGAATACAGGTTTCAGCTGTGAACTTATTTGCATCAGTAGTCCTTAAGTCACTGTCTTTTTTTTTTTTAAATACCAACCAACCCCCACACTGTCCAGAGATAATGGGCACTTGATGAATCAATCAATGGGCTTTTGTTATGTGTTGAGATAGTAATTGGTATGTTAACTTTAGAACCATCAGGGTCTGAGGAAAACATTTCCCAATGAGGTGTTCAGGTCATGGTGATATACTAGACCCTCACGTAGACAGAAAAATCCCTGAAATCACATCTGGCTCTATCAGAGAGGAACACTGACGGACTGGTTATTTCATACTATCTGCCAAACAGAGACATATAGACATTGATGAAATGTGAATAAGCTAACACTACTTAGTTCAAAACCTCAAATTCTTCTGGTTTGTTAAACTACTGACTATTTGTGTATGATGATGCTCCGGTTAATTCACCAGTGAAACTTATCTGTCCACTGGATCCAACAGGGTCCCATTGGCGTTTCATTTGTCCACTGGACGTCTTCAATCAGTGTATTCAGTTGTTTTTTGAAAGCATTTTTTAAAACTTTAAGAGTCGTGCATTTATGTGAAAATAATGTGCACCCTCTGGTCAATCAGAATTCTCTGTGGCCATGACACAACATAGGTGTTCCTCATTCCTCAGCACGATTATGCAGTGTCTGCAGTTAGACATTATGCTTATGAAAAAAAAAAACAATTTCCAGCCAAAATGCCAGACTGTTGAATAATGGAGAACTTAATCACTTGAACTTGAACGCTGATTATGCATTTTTCATCCCACAGCGTTGTGTATAGTCATTGTTTTGTTTCTAGAAAAAAATTAGATTTCTATTCAGATTTTGTCAGTGTGAGATGGAAAGTCGAAAGAAGGATGTGATTGTTCCAGAAAGCTCCATTAGGGCTCAAACTTCTTGGCAGTGTTGATGTAGTGCAGCCTGCTGAGATACACACACATGCACACACATAATCACACACAAACATTGTTCGTTTCACCTCAGGCACTCCCGCATCACATTCTTTTACAGCCAAAATGAAGTGAACTTTCATGCTTGTCACAGCAACTGTTCCCTGTCTCTCATCCACAATTTCCCTAAAACTGTCCGTAAATCTGAAGGTAGTCAAATTAGATTACAGTATATCAGCACACTGCGTGACTTCTAAGTTAAGTAATTTTAAGAATTTAATGATTTCTTGCTATTTCACAACTTCAACTTAAACTGTTTGAGGACACCCAGTGCCTTAAAACATTTAAGTTTATTGAAAACAATTTAATCATGAAAGTAACTCAAGTATTTGAATATTGAATTCCATTCAGTATATTGAACTTGTAAGTAAAATAGAGCCACATAATAATAAAGTAAGACTAACTATATACAACTATAACTTAACTGCATCTTCTTTATACAAATGTTACCACTTCAGTTGAATTTAATCAGTTTTATTCCACTAAAGCAAATTATTACATTGCCTGTCAGAACAGCTGACGTTTGTAAAAACAACTTGTTTATTGATGATCAAAATGCTAACCAATTACCATTTTACTAATTTAATTGTTACTACTGTAATTAAGTTTTAACTATAGCCTATTTTCTGTGACTAACATCAAATCTTTGCACTTATTATTAGGTAGGGGATTAGGTTAGAATTACTCAATTGAATCTGAAAAAATCCTTTAGTATAGCACAGTGGCGTTTATATTTGTGTTATGATGTAAAGTCAAAAAATAAAAAAAATAAGTAAGTAAATTAAGTTAATGCTTCATCAGGTCTTCAAAGCAAACAAGGTTTTCTTGCATTAGAATAGCGGCGCTTATTGACGTCGGCCCCTTGACACGTCTCAGCATAAAGTCTGGTTATCACAGAGGTTGCATCAGCCACTCAGTGATTCCTGCGTCTCTGCTTACCCAGCACTTTAACTTGCAGAACTAGAGCAAAGAAAAACAAGCACAGATTAATGTTTGAGGATCTGATTGAAGCTGCAGTTCTTGTGTGGCAACTATCTTCTGATAGGCAGGGACCAATAGTCAATGATCAGTGAGCATCTCTCCCCCCACCCTGTGTTTATTTAGTCGTTCATGGTTGTCTCTTTTTATCGGTCAATTTGTTCTTTGTCCCCTTATGCCACCACTCTTTTCCTGTTTTCATTCTTCTCAGTGTGAATGACAGATCAACAATCAGACACTTAATCCTGTGTCCCCTTATCAGGCTCCTTGCTTACCTCATGTTTCCTGAATGTTGAGACAGATATCCTGATTAAAACAACTGTTGACTAAAGCAGTTTGTGTACATTAACAGTTTGTCTTTTGTTTAAATGTCTCTTTTACCGCATTCTCTCTCTTTACAAAGTTTACATGTGTTTGAAAAGGATTTAAATTGTTGTAACATTTTCCTTGGCAAGGCCTTCTTTGATTATGAACCCAAACACCTTGTTCTGTTCTCAGCCTAATCCAACAGCTGTGGCTAATCCCTGGAAATGCCTCTTTCCTCTTGCCAAGTTAAATCCACAGTAAAGCATCCAAAAGGAGCAGAGGTTGTGGCTTTAGAGTAACAACCTGTGCCATGAGAGCTAAACCAATGCCAAACCACAGCTTAAAAAAACAATCTTCACGTGTCTTCTGTTTAATTTGGTAGTATATCAAGTAATGTACATTATGGTGCAGCCAAGGGCCCCTGGCTGCACAACCTGAAGTTAGCTTATTTAAGGACTGACCATTGTTTGGAAGCCCCATTCTTCCTAAAACCCTAATAGTCAGAAAAATATCCCATTAAACCGAAAGCCCATTAATCCGACAGCCTGTTACTCCCAAAACGTTTTTCCAAAAATACACACTCTCCCTGGAGCTTTTTACCTTTAATATATTCTGTCTATCTTGAAAAGGACAAAGTCAGGTAAGTTTTATCATCATGTTATGCAATAATAAACACGTGGTTAACGTTGTGAAAACGGTCGCAGTTTGGTTCGATTTGACACATCAAAACTCCAAAAGTTTTAAGGTTTAGGTTACAATAAGTCAGTTAGTATTGTCAGTTAAGTGTGTAAATTACGGATACCAGAGTGAGTATATTCGGAACTAGGCCTGCGACGCTATCAACTTATCGTACAATATATGGACTTGATCTTGATCATTTTTGCTGACCACGGTATTGCCCATCTTGTTTACATGCGTGTTTGTTTACATAAGAATGTCACCAACATTTTAGCCAACATGATGTTAGAATACAGCAGAGTCTCCCCGAACCGTTATAAGACTTTGGCACAGTACCTAAAGGTTTTTTGGTCTTTCTGGGACCAAATATCATCCAGTAAAAGTAGTTATCGTGACAGGCTTATTCAGAAGCAATGGGCCTTTGGAGCAATGAGCGTTTGTTTTTGGAATAATGGGCTGTTTGAAAAATGGGCTTTCAGTCCAATGGGACATTTTTCGTACTATTGGGGTTTCAGAATAATAGTCTGTCGGAACAATGGTGTGGCACCGCTTATTTTCACCATAATTTCAACCATTAACTAAAATTCCCTGCTCACAGAAAGTGACGAATGAAATTCCAACTTCCAATCTTTTTCTTGTGTCTCTTTGGTTTCATCACAGTCTGCTCAAACACTGAATAGTTTACTACTGTCAGATCTCCAGTTATGGTATGGTATGGTTGGTCACTGTTTAGATACAGATACATGTGAATAGACAAATAACGCATTTTAATGAAAGCAACGTTTCATTTATAACAGTGGCTCTTTAGAACAGAAAGTTATAGTTTACTGTATGTACCTTTTCAGTTATCAGATAAAAGTATATGAAAATGTTATAACTTACAACTAGATTTAATTAAAACAGACAGCAGAGATGCAGAAAGCTTTAAGGGGATGTATGTGCCACACTTTTTGATGTTAGAGTAAGTGATTTCTGTAAAGTCTATGGTTTAAATGCCTGTGAAGTCCAAACAGGTCTGGACATGCTTTGTGTTGGAGCCCTGCAGCTAACTCTCCCTCCTCTGGGGTTATTAATTTGAGATTAACTGACCTGTTGCTGGCAAGATGTTGGACTGAATTTTCCTCTTACGTAAAAGTACTACAAGCTCACACAGCATGTGGCAGAAGCGGGAACTGCGTATGTTTAATACTCATGTGGGGGGCAAGTAAACAAATAAAACACTGTATCCAAATATAATTAGTATACATTAATAACCACGGTTAAAAATGTGTGCTGTGACAGCAGACAGACAGAGCAGACACATTCCATGTGTTATACTGTTTGACTTAAAGTATGTGATCATGGGAACAATATTTTTCAGCAGCTTGTCAACTGCAAAGACACATCCTTGAATTTGGGGTTTAATGTAAAAGGTGGGTTAATGAAAGTCTTTTCATAAGATCTTAACAAATGTCACAAGGTTCCTCTTTAGTTTTTAAGGTCGGAGAGCCTGTCACTAAGCTCGCTGGTGTTGCGACAGAGAAGTATGAGAGGCCGGTATGTCGATATTATATAACCTTAACCAGATTAATGCAACATCAGTGTGTAGGTTGGTGTTTTTTTGTGTGAGAGAAAGCGGGGAATGTGTGCAGCCCAGTGGGATTCTGAGTATTAACCTCACTCCTCACTGTCCAGATAACACTAATCTGACAAAAGCTTATAATAATATAGATATAATAATGATGATAATATAGTAATATTTAAAAGTGTGTAAGAGAGCATGTGTGGTATGTGCAACTTTCGGTGCATGTACATGTGAGATTGTACAGACGCTGATATGACTTAATGTATCAATGTCTATTATATATGGCTCATTGGTGATACTTACTTTTGTGCATATTGAGCCAGTACCTGAGTATGTTTCTGATATCAAAACCGTTTCTACAGCCATTAATGGTTAACTTAGTTTAGCATTAAGACTGGAAGCAGTTCCAAAGTTAACAAAATCTGCTTATAAATCCCCCCAAAACAACAAGTTGGCTGTCGTTTTTACACTTTATTTTGTATTATTAAATGAGATCTAATGTGTAAATTAGTTAGCTTTGGAGGTGCCGGTAGGTTGATTTTTAACCTTTGTACAGAACCAGGCAAGCTGTTTCCTCCTGCTTGTAGATTTTATGATGAGCTAAGCTTAGCTGGCGGAAGCTTCATAGCATCCCCACCTCTTATGTGGTCAGTGACAAAGTGTTTTTCTTCTCACAGGAGGCATGCTGTGCGTACGTGCTGATGGTGACAGCAGTCTACTGGGTTTCTGAGGCGGTTCCCCTGGGTGCTGCTGCTCTGGTACCCGCCTTCCTCTATCCGCTGTTTGGGGTACTTAAGTCCAGCGAGGTGAGTCTCCATCGTTAGCCGTCTGACAGTTTTAGTTCTGCAAAAACTTCTCAGAGGCTGAAATTATTTCTCAAACTCCTCCAATAACTATTCTTGGACGAAACTAAAAAGTAAAGGGAAGGAGGCTATGTAGTTAGAGTTCTAACTGTAACTCAACAGTCAGTTCAATTAGACAATGTGTGACATAGTCTATACATTTTGTTTATTCTTTGTCTTATGATTTGGGGCCCCAGATAAGGGTCATATTTTGCTGCTGTTTTTTCCATCTCCACAAATGTAAAGCTGCGTTAACTGTTCTAGGGTTTTGGCCACCTTGAGGACAGAAGTGCTACAAAAACATACACACACATAGGTCTGATATTTTTATTCAGGAGACACAGAGCAACATCAGCATACATTAGCATGAGTTGCCTCACAATAAGTCTAATTTCACAGTTTTTCTGCAAGGGTTGTAAAATTAAAAATTTTTTGTTTGGGAAGAGTAAATATTGGAAGGTGAAACAAGGGCTCTGTTGCAGTGTGTCAACCTTTGTCACTTTAAAGGGGGAAAAATGAGAGAAACACTTATTATAAAGCATATAGGGCTTAACAGCAATGCATGGAGCAAGCAGAACTGCCGTTAATGCTGGGATATCTGGTTGTGACGGTGTGTTACTGTGCTGGCAGTAAGAGTCAGCTGATCAGATTGCTGTATATGCGAATGTACAGTAAGTCCAGATCAGGAAGAAAATGGGTGAAAGGCCTTTTTGTGCTCTGAACTGCAAGAACTCTGATCAACTTACATCGCTCTTTGCTTTTGAGTCTGTGGGAAGTTCTTCCGCATATGTTTCCATGAGGATTTTATGATGCGGTGTTACGTGTCAGTCAGAGGCTTTGTCACTTAGCAGTAAAGGTTTTATCAGCCATAACTATATGGAGCATGTAGAAAACCCCATTAACCTGGTACTCATCGTCATTATCTCACTAATGTTTCAGTGTTCTTTCATCTCAGAGTACATTGCATTCAAACGTACCTCAAACGCATCATCAGCCCTGGTCAAATTTAATTGGTTTGACTGACGATGACAGCCGATGACAGTTTCCTCTCCATTAAGCTCACCCCCCACTTCCTCACCTTTCTTATCAGCATTACATAAAAAGTGAGCTGTACGCCTCATGTGACCAAATCGCATTGACAAACGGTGACAAAGCTGCCTGTTAACGCGGCTGTAAGCCTCTTGTGATGGGGTTCAGTAAATATGCCAACAGAGCTTTATGCAACATTTTCTATTATCGTACCTCCAGTCGCCCCTGAAACCCCCTCTCTCCTAGTGAGTACTGGTTCAATGCCTGCATAGCACATTGCTATTATAGTACATACAACAGAAGTTCTTGCCTTATCTGCTTTCACTCATTGTTTTGACAAGTTTTCCACTTGTCATTTTCTAAATAATTGAGTGTCCCACCTTTTTCTTAAGACCAAAGACATAATATTGAAATTCATTTTAAATGACACTAAAACAACGACTAACTGATTGCTGGCTGTAAATCCAAATTAAAACAGATTAACAAGGATTCTAAATGTATTACTGACATTGGTGAGCCAAGGAAATTGTAAAAGACAGACAACCAGTATATTGTACAGTATATGTAGCATTTATTCTAAGTCTGTCAAACCTGGAATTTGTGCCTCACTTCTACATATTACATTAGGCATCAGTAAGCATTTCAGTATTTCAGTCTTTTTCTTGACTAATTATTATATCCAGTTTGTAGCTCCATCAAAATGATCAAGCAACAGTTAGTGTTTGGCAATGATCCTACTTCTCTAATTTCAAAAACATTAGCAAAGTGTAAGATATAGTTGTAATTTCTCCATTGGACTCTTTTTTTCATCAGGGCTGTCTATAATCTATAATCTATTATCTTTTTATGTTATTTTACCATTTAAGAGTCATTATGAAGTGTGTGGAAATGACATAGAGGGTAAAAGTGCGGCTGGAGGAAGTGCAGTGTGTATTAGGTGAGAGGTGAGGAGACGCTGGGGCGGGCTTATACAACACTGTGAGGCTGTGAACCCTGCGGGTGGGAAGTAGAGAAGATTAAAAAGAACAAATGGCAAACTGTAAGTGTTGATCCAAACGAAGGAGGGGGAAGTAGGGAAGTGGGTGAAGGATTGAAAAGAAAAAGGACCCCGTCACTCCTTCCTGTCCCCTCAAATCTCATGCTGTTTATTTTTCTTCTTGTAATTATATGAACTTTTATTTTATTATTTTGAAATGTGCCTCTTTCTGTGTATATGTGTGTGTTTAGGTGGCAGCAGAGTATTGTAAGGACACCACTTTGCTGCTAATGGGGGTCATCTGCCTGGCAGCCTCCATAGAGAAGTGGAACCTGCACAAACGCATCGCTCTGCGCATGGTGATGATCGCAGGGGCCAAGCCCGGCATGTGAGCAGCACACGCGCACATACTTAACACACAGTCAGTAAAAAGGACCTGTGTATGAACACACCAAATCCAAAACTGAGAGTGAGGTCTGACCAAAATGTCCTTACTCACACATACACCAATGTGCACATGTCTCTCCTCCAGGTTGGTGCTGGGCTTTATGTGCTGCACAGTGTTTCTGTCCATGTGGCTCAGCAACACGTCCACCACAGCCATGGTGATGCCCATAGCCGAGGCCGTCCTGCAGCAGCTGATCTGCACCGGCCTGGCCGACAGCCACAACGACTCAGAAACCGCAGAGGCCCCCGAGGATGACGGCGGTACGTCTTGCTCTGTCGCATACAGGTGGAGGTCACTGAGCTATAAAAGCTTCTGTGGATCCAACTGTAGCAGAACAATGTCTCTTGTTAACGATGCAAACTTTGGAAATGCCACCAACAGTTCCCCAGTCACACGTTTTTGATGAATGTTGCTTTCTGCAGCTGTTACAGATAAAGAAGACAATCTGGACAAAAACCAGTTAGAGCTGCTCTATCGCAACGACAGGTACGTCTGTGTTGTCATCATGAATTATCGTGGTTTCAATAATCGTGTAGTGAAAATCTGATATTTATATATATACTTAAGTATGTATATTAATAACCCCAATTCTTCTCCCTCTGCAGTGACTGCAGTAAACAGGAGCTCTCTACACTAAGTGAGGTGAGACCTGCAAAGCCTTTTTTTTGCCAAGTAGACAGAAGTCAAATAAATAGCAGAAGTGCAACAGAAAAATCTATAAACTGAGTGAGGTGTTATTCTCTTGTTCTCAGGTCCAGACTGAGGAGGTCAATGGTTTGGGTCTAAGGGCAATGTCTAACCAGTACCTCAGACACACCAATGGACACCTGCCTCAGGTTAGAAACACACTCACACATATTATTAGAGGTTAAAGAGGCGGACGTGTGACAGGAAGGTTGCTGGAAACAACAACGAGGAACACTCCCCGTTTCCTCACCAGTTCCAGACAATTAATGTCAGTAACATTTTCCATTCATGTACAATATTCTCCTCACTCTCTCTTAGGTTGCCATCGAAATCCCAAACGTGAAGCGGGTGAGGGCCAGGAGAGACTCCCAGTATCCCACCAAGAGGGATCACATGATCTGTAAATGCCTGTCACTCAGCATCACCTACGCTGCCACGATCGGCGGCCTCATCACCATCACCGGCACGTCAACCAACCTCATCTTTGCAGAGCAGTTTAACACGTAGGTGCACATGCTTGCACACACACTTAACTTGTGTAATGAGTTGAATATCTTCCATCCATCCACTGACAGTACAAATACTGGTGTCAGGCAGATATTTTAGTTTGCTATTAGCCTGTAGACACCATCTCAACTTTCACATTGCTTCACAAGCACATTTATGGTTTGATTGATTTCTTGGCTGCTGGGCCGGTTGGACTGAAACAGTTCATGTTAACTCACTTACACACACACTGTCTGGGGGGCACGCGTGTTCTGAGATCAAACTAATCAGCCTCTGCAGTCCTGACAGAGCCGATTTCCTCCAGCCGCGGCATTAAGCCCGGCAGAATGGCCTCCTTCATGACGCAGCTTGTTGGACAAAGGTCAGGTTTTGATTGTGTATGTGTGTGCGTGTGGGGGGGTTAGCGTGCGCAGTAGTAGTCCTAAAGGGATGTTACCAGGACCAGCAACCAATCCAAGCAGTAAATCTCCCCAAATTATGCCTTCAAGTTTGAATTTTTAAGTAAAATCTTGGTAAAATGTTGTCAAATAAAGTCAACTTGCATGTATATGAGGTTGGTGTGTGTGTGTGTTCAGGTCAGTCAGTCCTTGTCCTTGTCTGCAACAAGTCTGTGCTAGTAAAACAAGGCCAAGCAATTAACTTGACCCCCAACACACACAAGCTTTAACAGGCACGCTTGACCCTTTGCCCCTGTGAATGAGGTTAAAGATAAATATTAAGCCTCTTGGTGAAGCTCAAGTACACAGACACAGACTGTAAAAGCAGTCGGCAGACAAATAATAATGATTTAAGTCGTTTATCTTGTGTTTTTAGTCTGCAGTTGATGCTTTGTGCTCCAGTTTATATGTTGTTATGTAACTGAGCTGTTTTAAATCATGTAAGCACAACCTGGATTTTGTGTTTTGAAGAGCTAGAAAGTTTTATGAATTGTTGTGATTAGTAGTGTGTGTGTCTTTTTGTGTGAATGTGCAATGGGTTTGTTGGGATTTGGAAGTTTTGCATTGAATGACGGAAAAGGTGAGCGGCTAGCTTCCATAGCATTGCGTAGTGGAGTTTTTAGTAGCTAAAGAGGAGTTGGTGGAGACCAAACCAGAGCTAAAATGAGAGTTAACAGGCTTACAGTCATCAGGAGGAAACGTGACTTCAACTTCATGCTAATGTTGCTGCATGTTAGCAGACAGATTACTAGCCCATTTATAATAACAACTTTATAAGGTAATAATATGTCAGTGTTGTTGCACTGCCCCCAGGTGGCCAAAAATGAGTTAATTTTGGTTTAAAGTAGATAGACAGGAATAATTAAATTTTACACATTTTTCCTTTTTGTTTTTGTCTTTTTAAAGACTTCTTTAGGTCATAGTTAATCTCTGTTGATACACATTCACAGTGCATACCGTGATTTTAGAATATATTTTGTAAAATGTCATAGCCTCTTACTTATATCAGTTGTTGTTGCTTATAGGTCATGCTTTACCCAACTTTGTTCTTAAAACCAGTGCTTCATCACTGGTCTTGTAGTATTGCTTTCCTGTACTTTCACAGCAATTGATGGTGAAGGATAACTGAGGATTATTGAAAGGATGGCAGAGTCATTTCTGCAGCACACACACGACCATCATCTCTGAATGTCACCTTTTCCCTACTTGGTGTCCATACAGCACACAGCTCAGTGAAGCACGTCTGAGCAAACGCACCTTACCACCTGTACAGCTACCTGCTCTGTTAGAGCTTAGCATGCACTGAAGATGAATGACCACTGCTACGCGGCACAGACAGCTGTTTGGTACTGAGCCCTACGATGGTTTTCTTTTCTTTATACAACAGTAACAAACAATCTTGAGTGTCATCTGTGTAAACATCTCTTACGGTGCCTCACACTGACAGTGACTTTGATGGTGTGTCTTCAAGTCAGTGACCCTTGTGGCCCCTGGTGACTATAAAGTGGAGCTTTCGAGGAAATACAAGA